GCCTCGGAGCAAGAGCCCTTGAGAGCCGTGGGCTCCCAATCTTTAGGGTTTAGGGTTTAGGGTTAATACATGGAGCTATTGAACCCTACTTGGAGGTTCATGGGTAGTTATAAGTGGAGTTATAAGTCCCCTAACATAGCTTATACCTATAGTTACCCTACTTATAACTCCACTTATAACTACCCATGAACCTCCAAGTAAGATTCTGAAGCCAGCACCCTGCAACTTCAAAGCCTCTGACCCCTATACTTTCCAATGCCCTCCGAGCCCACACCCTGAAACTGATTAAAGATCATGAGGGTCTGAGGACTTTAATGTAAGCTGTAGCCTGATACATATAGAAGCCCTAAACCGCCAAACACCCAGCCGTAGATGCCGAAACCCCAAGCTACAAGCGAAAAACTGAGGTTTTCGAAGCGGCTGTTGGTCCACAGAAGTCCTTGCAACCGAGAAGGCAGAACCGACGAAGCCTCTGTTGATTTGTGGATCCAATAACCCACGCAATGCTATTTCGGGCGAGAATCTAGTTTTCAGGAGTTGAGGCCCGCGGCTACAAGAACACCTGACAGATCTAGAAGTTAGACTAGCAGCATGGTTTCACTCTTTTTCAAAGGGAATGAGCAAAAGGGCTGGAACACCGTGCCCACGAACGGGAAGATCTGCTTCCCATCAGCGGAACAGCCGTCGCTTCTTCGGCGGTTGCTCAACATCAATAGCAGGCTCAGGCCCTCCAAGCAGCTTCCGCACGGCTGCAGGGAGACTACCTTTTTTGAGCAGTTCCTGCACTTGCTCGTTTGTCGAGCCGAAGGAGACGCATTTTCTTTGGAGCACCTCCACCCCCTTCAGAGCTGCAGCCTCTGCGATAGCCGCGAAGCTCTTGGCATCGATCATGTCACACAGTGCCCTGCACAGGGTCTGCGCAACGCCATGGATTTGCCAGCGGTGGGCCAAGTCCAAAGCCTCCAGCATGGTACTGTGGTCGGGGTCTTCACGGGTGGAGCTTGTGTACAGCAGATCCAGGAAGAGCGAGACGCCCGAGGATGAGGAATCCTTAACTTGAATGAGCCAGCTGGAGCCCTCCTTCATTGCAGACGTGAGCATGGCTTTCAAGACGGGCGAAGCTAACATCAAGATCTGGTCGTGTGCCGACACCTTTCCGTCTGAGCATTCGAAAATCACGCTATGCGAGGTGGTCAAGTCACGCATTGACTCCCACAAGTCCAAGGTGCTCTGGGGCACGGTGACATCTGCACCATAGGAGCTGTTAACAGTAGCGGAGCTCGAGAGAACAGCAAGGACGGCTTTGAGATATGCCTCCATTTGTGACCAGTCCGCCTTGCCTGTGCACTTTTGCATTTGCTGAAGATATGCAAAAGCAAGCGAAACAGCGGAATGCCCGCCATATGCAACTGTGAACTTCGTTGCTTCCTCGTTGCTGGGCTTGAAACACTGAGACCGTAAAGGGTGATGGGCCGGAAGCTTCTGTCGAGGATCAGCTCCAACCTTGAGGAGCCATTCCACCATCTTGAGGCTTTTCTTTTGAAAGGCTTCTGTCCGAGCAACGTTGTAACGAATCACACAAATCAGTGCAGGTAACTCCCACTCTCCCAGGCCCTTAGTCCAGTCGAACTTGGGAGGTGCGAATGCCTGCAAGCCTTCCAAATCACCCAGCTCGATGAACCCGTGAACCACATCGGCATCGATCGTCGCTGCCATGGACTCGTCACAAGTGCTTGGCACAATGTCTCTCTTGTGCCCCAGGCCCCTGTTGACAGGCTGAGGGTGTAAGGGCCTTGGTTTGTGAGCTTAGCATTGTAAATTGTCGAGATATGGAATGGAAACCAGAGCTCTTCACGAAAAGAACATGTTCGACTGTTTTTAATTCCGGCTATCGGCAAACGGATTCGGAAAGGACTGCAGGGATAGCAGCATGAGATCCGGTGCCCTAAACCCCAAACATGAAAGCCCTCCCATTTCAGGAGCCACCAGCATCTGGGCTCCTATAAACCGTCCGCTGACGCCCCCCAAGCCCCCGCCCCCCCCCCCTCTAAACCCTAAAAAAACGCCGCAGAAGGTCCAGAAATCTCCCAGAGGCCGCTAGGGCCTCGTTGGTGACATCCACGCTGTTCTTCTTCACCTCCAAGTCCTGCTGCATTCGAAAGGGGCTGAGACTCAGAAGTTCTGCAACATAAGCTGGGCTCTTGTTAAGGGATTTAATTTAAGTTACCATAATAGGGATCTATAGTAAATAATATGGTTTCCTTATTATGGTAACTTAAATTAAATCCCTTAACAAGAACCCAGTAAGGGGCCTTATACTGGGGAGTATAACCATACTTGTAGCTTCCAAGGCCTACTGCTAAGGTTCCTTTAAGGGAGCTATAAAGGCTCTATAAGGGTTCTATACGGGCAGGTTCATCGGCAAGTTTTGAGTAGGGCTATAAGTAGGATAACTATACTTATAGCCGGAATTCGGGGACTTACAACTCCACCTGTAAGTGCCGATGAACCAAACTCGGTTCGAGATTCAGACATGAGCAAAAAAGACGACGACCCCTAAACCCTAAACCCTAAACCTTAAACCGGCTACTCCCACTGCTATTGCTACTAAGACTGCGACTTCCTGCTGCTGCTGCTACTACTACTACTACTACTACTACTGCTACTACTACTGGCGGAGGAATCAAAAGATACCAAATAGTTTTCAAAAACAGGCCGGGGAATCAAATAATATCAAATATGAAAAACAAATCAAATGTCTGGGATCCAAAACAAATCAAAACAGGGATCAAAAGCCCAAAATCGCATGTCTCCTGGAGGGTATACTCAAGACTCACCAAGTTTTGGGTCAAAACAAAACCAAACCAAAACAGGGATCAACAACAAATGAAACAGGGATAAAGTTTTCTGGTGTCCAAACAGCGTTGCAGCAACGTGGAGCGTTGACGTGTGGAGGATCCTGTCTTCTTGGTGAGGGGGGTTGGGGGGAGAGAGACGCAGTGTCAGGGGCTGGTTAGGGTCGCAGTGGTACTGGCCGTAGCAGTATGCGTATGCCACAGCGACAGCAACAGCAAAAGGGAATAACAACAGCGAAGGCAAAAAACAACAATAATCGTATTTCAATTGAAAATCGAAACAAAACAATATAATCGGAATATAAATAGCAATAATGACAATCATCATAGCAGTCATCATCATCACCATTGCCAAAGTAATCGCAACCGTGACCGTACTAATCGTAGCAACAATGAACATGTTTCATTCTTGCTGCACTAGCCACTAGCTACACCGGGAAAAATATAATTGCACGAGTGACAGCAAACAGTAACAGGAACAGTAAAATTAAAAGCAGAAGCGCCACTCAATCCGAACATTCAGATCTCCATTTCAGATGGCTGGGAGCCGGTCTAAATCATGGCCCAAGTAGTGTTGCTTGCAGCATTTGATATCTTGTTGATCCCTGCTTGATTTTTGTTGATCCCTACTTGATTTTTGATGCCTATCCCACTACTACTCGTTCGGCTTCGTCCACGCCTTCTGCTTCTATTCTACAAGCAATTACCTCTGCCTGGCGAGCCTGTTGGATTTAGGGGCTGAAGCCTGGTGACGCGGTGTTTTCAGACACCAGGTCAATTCATTTCGCGCCCCGTGCACTTTAGAAGGGGTTGCAGCGCAGTCTGTTGGAGCACAGAGATTCCGAAAGGAATGATATGATTACTCTCTGGAGGATCGCTTCGTAGGGCGGGGTTACGGGAATGAGACACCGCAAATGGGAAGCAGTCGCGCCCTTAATCCACGCCCTGAACACTCCATGCTCCACAATCAGAACCGCAAGAGTCGCAAAAACCAGAAGAGTCCTGATGATCAACTGCCAAAAATCCCAAAACCCGACACTTACTGCGTACAACTCCCGTGTCAATGATACCACTACCACGAAGCACCCTCAAAAGCCTCCGCAAATCGCAAATCTAAGGGGCTTCTGGAGTGAGAAGTGCCGAGGTTCCTCCAAGTCGTCTGCATCCCTCTCGAGCGCCTGGAAGGCTTCTTCTGGTTTGAGGTAGACCTTAAGAACCCAAAACCCCCTTTTTTGTAGATTCTTATTATAAACCCTAATATGGGATTTATAGGGACCCTATAGAAAAGTAGGTTTGGGGTTCTTAGGGCAACCCCAAAACCCTGGGGCCCTCGGGTGCAGGATTTCGAGTAACCCCGGAAGCAGAAGTGGAAGGGAGATAAGACTGTCTGGTGCTTAGTAGGGAATGGGGGAATGGAGCCCTATGATAGCCCCTTACGGTCCCTTATAGTAGTCCCTGTACCCTAAACCCTAAACCCTAAACCCTAAACCCTAAACCCTAAACCCCATTCCCTACTAAGCACCAGACAGAAGAGACGACGAGGTAAACCCGAAGCCTCAAACCCGGCAGCATGGGATCTCTGTCTTTCGCTCATGGCCTAAGGGTTTAGGGTTTAGGGTTTAGGGTAGAAATGTGACGTTCAAAGTTATTTCAATGTCTGGCTCTAAACCGATGATATTCCGGTCCCTGCCTGTCACAAATGCTGTTGCAAGTTCACCCTTGTCGTAGCCTCCAGAAGCATCGCACGGCCCCCGTCATCAATCAAGAGCTCGTAGGCCAAAGAAATGCGGCGAAAGCCTAAGAAGCCACAGACATGCGATGGTCCCAGAGATGAAGGTTGGGTTCAGCGCTTCAGGCTTTGGAGTGCCTGGGACAAGCCTGGGGCGAGGGGGTTTATTCCCCCGCCGCCGTAAAGGGTTGTGCGCTGTGCGTTCCGCCCACCCCGCAGAGAGAGAGGCCTCGGCGGGGATCCTGTTCCCCAGAGGGGAAGGGCGATGAATGATGACCGGCAGAACCGAACTTCAGCACCCGCAAGCATTGATCCCTTCAAATTGAAACACAAACCGAATCCTCGGTCTGAACTGCAAACCATCAATCACTCACGAAGAGCCAGGTTCTAGGTGCCGTAAACCTTGCATCTGAGCAGACCAGCGTGAACCACCGACCTTTACGAAGCCCGAGCCCAAACCCTACTAAACCCGATGTACCTTCAGAAAATTGTGCGTGTGCTTCACTTCTCTTGGAACCTTCGTTACTCTAGGTATCCCTGACGCTATAGTACCTTGGCTCCTCGCGCTCCTCTGCGTCCTGAGCATTCAGACAGCTTCGTTTTGTGTTGCTGCTCTGGATGCAAGGGTATATGACATAGGGGCCTTAATGGTGAGAACAGGGCTGGGGAGGCATATTGCAGTGGATATGAGTTCGCAAAAGTCTCAAAACTCTGCACTACTGCGGGGTTCGATGGTTCAGGGTTAGGGACTGTGGGCCTTTGGGCTTAGGGGGTTTGCTCTGAGGGTCGAAGGTTCAGAGTGAGGATTGAGGGTTCAGGGTTTTCGTCGCATCTCTATTTGACCGGCGGGTTTAGGGTTCAGGACGTCAGGGAATCGGGGCTGCTTCAAGAGGAGTATAACACAAATAGGAGGCTTGACAGTTACAGTGGGGTTTTGAGCTATACTAGACGCTACTTACAGAAGTTGTGAAGTTAGGGCAGCTATATTCCTTCCGGGGCTTGGTGTTTCGGTATCCGAGATCTTGGGCTTAAAGCGCCTGAACTCTAAGCCCTCAACCCCTGAAGTCTGAAAGTGCGTCGTAACCCCTCACGCACCATCGAGTGCCAACAACAGGTCCGGTGATGCGCATGGCCATCGCTACAGCGCTGTACATCTGGCGGCCGAAACTGCGCAAAACCCCCTAGGCAACTACTGGTACCAGACCCCCCAACTTAAGGCGGGCTCGTGGAGGTTACTGTGGCGTCCGGCTATTCAGTCAAGCCACTCAAGCCTGTACAGGTCCTCCCAAAAGAGCTATCGCAGGTTAACCTACAGGTGCCCTAAATTTTCAAGAGTAGCGTTTAGGGCTCCCCGTCCCTGTCACAATTAGAGACGAGTATACTCCAAGACCCCCATTCCAATTCTTGAGGCCCCTATATCAAACACACACGCCGGTGGTAAAACTGGCCACCCTCGCCCATCGGGCGGAGAGAAGTGGCTGCAGATCACTGAAGCGCTTTGACACTTCGCTTGGGGTTTAGGGCTTTAGCGGTTTTAGGCTCTAGGGTTTTCGAATTTAGGGTTTGGGGGTTTTGGGGTTTAGGCTTTACGATCTAGGGCTGTAGACCCTACGGTAACCTAAAGCATGGCCAATGGAAGCCTTGAATATGGGGTTTAGGTCTCATTACGGTTGGGTTTAGGGTTTAGGGTTGAGGGGGTCATTACGAGGCGAATAAACTGGACCACGTTACCCACCGTGCCAAGAACGTGCGGCTTAGCGTTGAGGCCATATGCGGTTGCAAGCTGGAACGAAGCTTAAATCGTCCGGCTTGCACGAGCAACTCACACATTCCCTAAACCCCAAAAACGTGCGACCCTAGCTCCACTGCCTTGGGAACCATGAGATTCAAGGCTCCAGCAGGGTAAATGGCAAGCATGAATATTGGTCATTATGAGGCGAGTAAGATGGACCACGTTACCGACTATGCCATGAATCTGTAGTTCAGAGTGGAGGGCACATGCGGTTGCAAGCTGAACGACACTTAAATCGTCCGGCTTGCACGTGCAACTCTCATTCATCCCCTAAACCTACTAAACACTGCACCCTGGGCCCCCCTCGGGCCACATGTGCAAGGCGACAGATGGATGCTTC